TTAGTTAATTATGAATCTGCGATCAAAACTATGAACATTTCTGACGGGTTAATATAAAGAATCCAAATATTATATTATACTCATTGTAACGAGTGAACGCAATTTAAGTTGTTGAATTTTGACGAAGGTCAATTGCATGCACGGAAAGAGAAATCTTTCCACGAAACCGGCAGAGTTGGCGTTGCACTCGAGGCAGGGATAATCCCTTAGCCCAAACATTCGGATTAATAGCGAGCAGCGGTAGCCGTGTCGAAGCACGACGATACATTCATTCGTGCTTGAGCCTTCCTCGAGACAGGATCTATATTAAAGAGAGTCCATATACAAACGGTGTAATTTTATATCCCATCAACGCTATCCCAGACGGTAACACTCATTAAATGTTGAAACGATAGAAAGCAGGTATTTCAAAGGTGTTTTCTCCAAAAATAATTGATTTTTAGTGTTATATCCTAATTAGATCGATAGCTTGTGTTTTCGCGTTTCCCGTTGAATATTCATGCAGCCGTCGAATAATTTGCTCTTAAAAACAATACACCTGCCCGTTTGGATTTCGACAACTTGACGTACGTTTCGAATCGAACGGGCAAGGTAAATTTATGCAGAAACATCACTCCCTCGGCTGAAACGTTATTGATCGTACTAGGTGTCCGGGTTCGGTGTATTGCCTTTATAGCAGCCAAGTTTTGATTGGATCTAGAATTTACGGGATTTGTTTGACTCGTAAAATTAACGCGGCAACTTAATTATTTCGCGTCTGTTGAACTCGTTGGCAGTGACAGTTACTTATTATCGACGTCGAACAACACCGACGACGTACCCGCCACTCGATCAATCGACGATTTTTCAATTGTTATTTCATTTAATTATTTACGATGATGTTTACCGCTGTTTTTGACATTTGATATTTTCATTACGTTTCAGGCAAACTTTTATATTGTCAATTCAGACTTCCACGGCGCGAATAATGAAATAAAAATAAATATACACAGTATTGTAATGCAAAATAATTTATTATACGAACTTAAAGAATTATAATTTTGCATTTATTTCACGTCACGCTTGTATTGGTGTGTTTCTTTTTATGAATAATATTACACACCAAGGACAAATTTCGAGTGTTTCCGTTAAAAAGTTGACGAAGTTAACTTTAGAACATCAAGCACGCTTTGGAGTGTTCCGTTTTGAGTACCTCTGTGGCATACTTCCACAAGAGTAAGTAATTCGAGAGATGAAACTATAATTTGAATGCGAATCGTGGAATAACAACAAGTTTCGTGCATTTACATAATAGTCCAGTGACGGTAACTTTACAATATCAATTTTGGTTTCGTCCGACTTGCTCGATCGTTAAATATGTTCCGGTCAGATGTTTTATTATTAATGTTCAAAGAATAAAACTTGAATGTGTTCTGTTCATTAAAAATTAATTAGAAGCTTTTGATCAAATTTTTTCATTAAGAAAATGTATAAAATATTTCACTAATATATGTAATAATAATTACTCGTTATTCCCTTCGATTTTCATCGCAGAAATGTCAGCAGAATGTGAAAGAACAGGAATTTTCAAAAAATCCTGATTGAAGTTGTAATTAACCGGGCTGTCTGTCGAACGGCCGATATTAATTACCGTTTGATCAGTCCTTTTTTGTCAACGATGAAGCTTTATCTCGTCGATCTCTGAACAACGCACGAAATAGTTTTTTCCTTTTTTCCGATACTACCAGCTTCTTTGATATTTGCAATAGTTACACAACGCTTCGATGTTTCGTTTATTATAAACGTAAAGTTGTCTTAGCTTTTCTTCCGATTGAAATTAGTTCATTTCTCATATCTATCAATCTGATTTCTGTATCAAGGAACTAATTAAACCGACGAACTTAACGGGGATACAAATTTTTCTATTCAAAATTCCTGTCCTTTTTCCTTCTTTGCAAGGATATCATCGACATTATCGAAAAAATCCTGCTCTTCTAATGAAGACTACTTCACGTCATTCTTTTCAACGTGCTATAAATAGCAGGATTGCAAAGTTAAACGATCCTACCGGCTGGGATATTGCGAAAGCAGTTCTCGTCAATATCTGAGCTCGTTTATGCTCTCGTCGTTCATTCATATCGAGGGATTTTAAGTCCCCTCGAACAGAGAACACGACCATGGAAGAGTGGATCGTCATAAAAGAAATCGTAGCGGAAAGAAATGCCTGTAGAAATTCTTCAGACTAAAATCTATACACGCCTCGTTAAAATTGATTTTAATTGGATTTAGTAGATTAGTTTTTTTTCAAGTAGAAATATTCTTGCAGGATAACCAACTCTTCTAATTTCTGAACACGGCAGTTCCCAAAGTTCTTAAATTCTTTGATTATCAAGCTTTCTAATTAAAAAAAAAAATTATGATATTGAGGAAGCTTATCGAATCCTAACAGTCGTACCTCTTAAAATGAATTTCCCTTATGAAATGTCTTAATAACTCTAATTAGCGACACATTAAATAACCAAAGAAAGGAAACTGATTGCTTTAATAGAGCCTGAATACCGACAGAATTCTCCTTGCTGGTTGACTAAAGGGATTGACCACTCGAACTCCTTGGTCATTAAAGTCTCAGAGAAATTCCCAGAAGACGATGGAAGTTGAGAACAGGTGCAAGTACCGAGTCCGGAGTGTAATCGTTTTACAGTTGGAAACTAGCTAAGTCAAGTGCTGACCAGGAACAAACGGAGTTAGTATTTTCATTCACTTTTCAAACGACAACACCACGTTCATCGCTTCAATTTGAATGATTATCGAATAGAAATAGGTTGAAGAAGCAATGAGCTGTTTAATTGAGTCGACAACGAGCCCCGTTCTCACGGTTCGTCACCTCCATAATTCATCAGCACGATTTATTAAACATAAATTAACCCCGGCTGTTTAATATCCGTTCTAGCCAATTTAGCTGTCCAAGCTATCAATAGATTCCTGCCCTCAAGTTTGATATTCTAATAGCTTACCGTTTACACACTGTACACTCTGTTCATGATATATGATCGTTGGAGGGTACACCTATTATCATGCTAATAAATGCTCGTACTGATGAAATTCTTTGTGATGCACCACTCGTTGCCGTGTATATCATCGGAAATTCTCCTAGCAATGGAATATCGAGGCTATAATAGGACTTTCCATGCGATCCACGAAGAAACAAAGCAGCACCCATAAAGCTGCGTACTCGTCAAAGAGTAACGTTGCCTTCCCTGTCGCGCATCCATGAATATTAAGCGATCAGCTCGTGGATTCTTGTTACGACTCTCGTGTCGGCCGAGTTAACGCGGAAAATTGATTTCACTTGATAAGCATATTATCTGTATTCATTTTTATCTTGTCATATTGACATTTGTCTTGATCTTAGAACGCTTCAAATCCTTTCAAATTCGGCCAAAGAAGATGTCAGTTCAAACAGAGTTACACTCCTTTGCCTGTTCTTACTTTCAACGCTGTTCTCGTTTCAAAAATCTGCTACCTTGGTCCCTCGAACACGTCTCATTATTCGAATCGCACTTTCTTTGATCTCGAGGAAAGAGAGGAGCGTAAAGAGAAAGCGGAGAAGAAGGGCGACAGGCCTAGTACTGTCAGCGATCGTGTCAAATAGTGCGCAAGGTAGAAAGATAGAAGGATTTCCTCTCTTCCTGCCTCGCTGCTTTTACACACAGGGGCTATCGCACGACACAGATCTCTATTCAAAGAAATATCAAAGTGCTGAGTTAGATCATTCAGACGCTGATTACCGGAGGGGGCTGCTATCCTGCATTAAGCATGTTCCATGGCGTTAACGAAATTCGTCCGCTTTGAATATCCTCGCCACTTCATTTACCCCCTGTGCTCCGTATCGCGAAATCTCTCGCAGATTAACCATCTGAGGGCATAAATAACTAAAAAATCCTGTCGACAGCGATATTCGGAATTTTATTTCCTCCTCGTCCTTAATCTTATTAAGCTTCATCTGCTTTTAGTTGAATTTTATTCCAGACTTCTGCTCTGTAACTTCGCGAAGACGAGACAAGAAGTGAAATTTCTTCGCGTCAAACTCTCGACGAACTTGTGTGTTCTCTGACAAATCTGAATTTCTTCTAACCTTATTGGTGGTTTGAAATTTCACTGATTCTCGTAATTTCCTGAAAAGTTTAATCTCCTTGTAGAAAACGTTAGTTCTACAATGGAGGATTATTGAATTTTTCAAAGATCTTTTAAGTGTAGCGAATGAAATTCTTAATTTTCGTAATTAGAGAAACTTATGGGATAATTCTAATTATAGAAAAATTTGTCGATTAATTTAAAACTTCGAATATTTGAAAATGTGGTTTATGGAATTGTCTTATTCTGCTTTTTTTATTTTAAGAAGTGTCAAATGGTAAAAATTCGCGTTTGTGTTTCACAGGTGCGTGAACATGCCCCCCTTTCACCCACCTGTACATCGAAACTGTGCTCACAATCTTTAGTCTCCAACAATCAGAGATCTTGTGATAATTGACGCTTCCAGCCACGCTTTGAATTCGAACTAAAGCCCCTTTGTGCACTCTGTTTTCAATATTCGTCCCGCTTCGAAGAATTCCAGCTTTTATCGCGACTCATGCAACAGACACGTACAGACTGTCGATTCCTCCGAATATCGTTCGTTCAGTCATACAGAAATAATCGACCAATAAAAGACGCACTTTCTCTACCTCGCTGGCTATCCTCTATTCCGTTGTCGAATCTCTTCAGCAGCTTTCAGCGCGATTTTTCCACTCGAAAATAATTGGTCTTCTTCGATAGAAACGCGTCGTTTCCCTTTTGTAACAGTTTCAGAGAAACGCGACCGAAAATCTCGTTTCTTCTTGGCTCGACGATAAAAGAAAATGAAAAATAACCATCAAGATATATATTGCAATAGCATTCGAAATTTAGGAAAGGTAGGTACTTAAAAACTAAATTATATATCATTTAATTCAGTTTTGTTTTTAATTTATTTTGAACTGAAATGGAGGATTTGTCGCGAAACTCGATTTACAATCCTTCCAATCGATACATTTCATTTCAATTAAAAAAATTAAACACGACAAAAATAAGAAATTAATATTGACATTATTTATCACAGAAGAGTGTAGCAGAAACATCATCGATCGTGTTCGTGACTCGACTTTAAGGATTTAGTTTCCATCGTTTCCGATCAGAGTGTCAGCTCACAGATTGCGGGAAACGTCGTTTCCATCTTCCCATTCCTTCCATCTGCCATGCCAGGGGAAAGTATGAGGAACGATGGAGTTGTTCCGAGTAAATACAACGGAAAGACAATTCACCGTTTACTGATACATCCGTCAGGGTTTATGTAACACCCTCGAGGGGTTGTCGTGGTCGAGAAACGAGGAAAATGGAACATTGGAGCTACGTAAGTACATCTAATGCGTGCAACGTATTCAAATATGGTTCCAGAAGCAATAAACAAGGAAACGAGTGTATAAATGTCTGACTCTGCTATCTTCTCGTATATATATCGTTTTCAGAATACCGTCGACCATCAAAGTGTTACAAATATCTCTCTCCGAGTCTGAAGAATTATGAAGATGCGATAAAATGTACACGAAACGCGTTCAACCTAGAAGTCATTCAAACAAATTCAGTGAAAGTGGAGAGGCAATTAGTTGAATCAACACGCGGCAAATAAAAATGTCTGATCAAACATCAAATAGCGAATCAACTCAGAGCTTTCTTGATGGAACTTGATGGCCAAAGAAACGAAAGTACGTCAGCGAGGTGAATACACAAGATACAGTGGAATACCAGAGAGGTTTCCTCCATTCCCCTGGATTTACAGGCAAATATTTAACGATGATGGTTAATAAAATGTTCATCGAGCCTCGTTGAGGTAACCTCTGTCAATACCACAACGAGCCCCGAGTCCATATTACAGAAGGAATTGCATAATTCAAAATTCTACGCGGAGAAAAGAGAAAGAAATATGGTCGCATACGACGGTCTGCGGTTCGCGAAATTCTATAGAGGGAACGTATTTACCTTGTATCCCAAAGTTGGTGCTCCTATCGTAAACAGAAGAGTAACATGTCAGCCGCGGTATACACAAAAATAACATCGTATATAAAGGGATGAGGGGGTTGGTTTTATGTACAGTCGCAGCCGGAAGCGGGAGAATTTATGTGGAATCGTGCACAGAATATATTTACTAAATGCGAGCATACCGACCCTGGACTATGATGTTCGAAGGAAAACATACCTGCGGAACTGGAGGAACAACGGAGAAAAGACTCCATGAATGTTATTTTTATTTTAGATTCACTGCGATGAAGTGCATAATCTTCTCGCTGCTTATTAAGGGTAATTTTATAAAATATTTTTTTAACACAGCGAACTCTATTATATTCTATACTAAATATAATACATTTCTTTGTGTGTTGAAAACATAGTTCAAAGGCGATTCGTTTAACCAGCAGAGAAATAATTCCCACCGACAAAGAAAAAAGAGAAAGGAGGTAAAAGGTGTCCCAGACGAGAGCAAAACAGAAAATGTGTAAGGATCTCGTTGAAGGCGTCGTTTGTTACCGGAATGGTGGTAGACAGGATCGAAAAATCAGTGGTTTCTACGAACAGAGACAAAAGAAATAGAACAGATTGAAGACTGGACAGGCGTGGGTGGACGTAGCTGAAAAAAGCTCATTTTCGTGGCGTTTATCGAGTAAAAGCACCTCTTCCCACCATATTGCAACGGAGACCATATGTTCCGGTAGCTCTGCTTTCTTCTTTACTCCAGCAAATACGATCGTTTTTATTCTTTTCTTGGTCGTTTCCTTCGTCCTCGAGGTTCCACGTTACCGCCAGCATCTGGTTGGCTGGCTTTCTACGTTTTATAAAGTACGTGACTTCCCTGCAACGATGCGTAACCCCGAAAGCCTTTGTTTCTTCTTTTCCAACACTCTCTCACCCCCTTATCCATCGGTTTAAATCATTGTTTTCCATCGCCTTGGTATTCTCGAAGGTCCATCGGGTCTGTGTAGCATTCCAATTGCAACTCGTTCAGTCTAATACTACATATCGCCTGTGAAACTACCCCGATGCGCTGAAAAATACTCTGCCACGGTTTTTCTTCGCCGAGAACGGAGGTGCCGATAATTTCAACATACAGGAATAAAGGTTTATGTACTCGTGGAACTACAGGATCTTGGATCTACCAAACTCTGCACTACGGTGGTCCGAAGTTTCTTTAATATGCCCAGTGACTGCAGATACAAAAAGGATGGACATGCCTTTGTTCTCGAGAGGTCATGATTTTTAGGGTCCCCAAACACACACAGAATGGCTTATCAGTTCATCTCTAACCAAACCTCGCACTTATAATTGAGAAGACACAATTTTGACTCCCTTTGATTTTATTTTTTTTTATTAAAATAATTATTTGACAAACTTGTATTCACTTCATGTTTCTTGGTAAATAAATCATTTTAAAAGAAGGCAAGTGAGTTATTATGTAATTTATCCAATTCCCTTTCGAAGTTATTTATTTAATTTATCCAATTTTCTTTCGTAGTTATTTATTTAAGTTATAAGAATATAAATTATTTATTATTTTATCCCTCTTTATAGGCCCAGGCCCACATTTCCCAATTACTTATTATTTTATCTCTTCCAACGGGCCTCGAGGTGACCACCACTATACATTTCAGCATCACTTATATCCTTTGTAACTCTTAAATCCCATGCATCCCTTGCATCCATCGTATCCCTAAAAACCCTTTCTTAATTCTATACATAATTATATTTAAATAACGCTACTTCTACTTCCAGAAAAATGAAAGAGATATTTGCGCCCTCTATTACTGAAAATTTGAATTAAATAGCACATGAAAATTACGCCATCTAGCGGCAAAATTGCGAACTAAATTTTCGACGTCGAGTCAGCGCCCTCTGGTGGCGAAAAAAGGAACTAAACGTTGCACCATTTTTGGCCCTCTCGCGGCAAAAATGCGAACTAAATTTTCGATGTCGAATCATCGCCCTCTGGTGGCGAAAAAAAGGAACTAAACGTTGCACCATTTTTGGCCCTCTCGCGGCAAAAATGCGAACTAAATTTTCGATGTCGAACCAGCGCCCTCTGGTGGCGAAAAAAAGGAACTAAACTTTGCAAAATGGACCATCTCGCGATTGGTGCTTAAACAGAGCTTACAAGGATACAAGGAATGTAAGGGATACAATGGATACAAAGGATGCAAGTGGTGAAAGGGATGAGAAGAATATAAGGAATGCAAGGGGTGAATTTTGTGATGCCCACAAAAAGGAATTAAAAAAACAAGTGGGAAAGGTGGGCCTTGGCTTACAAAGTGGGGTAGAATAGTATAGGGAGAGAGTTTCTCGCTAAGTCTACAAAGAAGGTTAAAATAATAAATAACTGGAAATGGTAAGGCGAGGTCTATAAGGAAGGATCAAATAATAAATCAAAGGGATGCTAAGCCGAGGCCCACAAGAAGGATAAAATTATGAATTCCATGCTGTTTAAGAGTTTATTTAACAAGCTAAGAAAGTAACTAAAATAAACGAAATACACTGAGAAAATAACTAAGTTTCACCTCACTCTAGGTCGAATTGTTGAATGCGGTGTCCAATCAGCCGTGACGTTCCCCTTCAGTGGCTGTAAGTATTTTTTGTTTTGTTTTTTAACGTGGGGAAATCTTGCATAAGACCCCCTACTGCCTCTAGGGGAGGACAGCGGGGGAGTGTCAACTCCTACTGACTAAAACCCCAAAGGAGTGCTAAAGGAGGGCTCGGGAACCTTATGTATATTACACGTAATTACATGTAATGCTTACCTTGCGACCGACACTGGGGGTCGCACCCAGTGCTGGGTCTCTCCTCGGGCCGTATGCAAGGGCGCCTGGAGCCCCCACTCTCGACGCCCTAACGGCCCCACCGGCTTTGGAGCCGGCATATAAAGTATTGAGGAAGGGTTGAATCCTCTGCCCTTGTTGCTCCTTTTCGCTCTGTCCGCGTTGGAGACAGCAATCCTGAGATGTAACATCTTCACGAACCGCAGTGACTGTAGATTCAACAAGACTGAACATGCCTTTGTTACTGAGATATTGCAACGCTGAACTCGAGACACTAGAGCAGATTGTGCTCGTTCTCGAAGCACAATTCAAGACCCCTCGAAAACAAAGGCATGTCCAGTCCTGTTGGATCTATAGTCATTGCTATGACTTACAGATAAGTGTGGCTTGCGAAACTTCATGTAGATGTACCCAGATCCGGAAGAGCCGATACCTTAAACCTCTAGACTGTGGGATGCTGGGATTAGGTTTCTAAGGATCAGTAATTGAAGTTAACCGGGGCTTGAAGTCTTATAATTTCAAGGAACTTTAGGAGATTGTTTCAGAACTTATATGATTTCTAATACCTAAGAATCGCACTTACTTACTAATACTACAGAATCTCCACATCTGAAGATGTAGAAATAAATATCACAGGATATCCATCGGATACCACTGAGCGGTTTTATAACCGACGAAAACGACAAGAACCAACGAAGAATTGAATCATGAAAATACAAAAGGCAGCATGCTGGTGCGAGACGGAACAAAGTAGCCGTTGAATTCGAGTGGTTTTTGTTCAGGAACGAAACAACGTAGGCCAAATCAACCATTAGCCGAGATGCGTGCTTTTTGTCCGTGGTCACGACCCGACAGAACGGATAATGGATACTTAACCGCCTTGTTACGCATCGAGCTCACCCTTGTCAGCCAACCCTCGCGATATTCCAGGCTACGGTGGAAGCGTACAACCACCCTCCCGGAAGCCAGAAAGCAACCTCGCACCGCCCCACTGTCAACCACGCTCGCTCGACGGTGTCTGTGAAAGCAATAGCTGCCGAGTTGTGCCAAATGAATCTGTTTTGTGCGATATAATTGCTCGACTCTGCTAGTCTCTGCTCGGTATATGGTTCACTCTCTTTCTAACCCCGTGTATTCCCGAGCTTGACAAACTCCGGCCAGATATCCCTACTCCTTGTCAAATAGTTTTTCTCATTCACGACAGAGAAATCTCAAATGAACCTCCGACATCATTTTCAATGAGATACAAGTTAGAGTTGAAAATATGAAAGTTGTTCGCTGATTTTTAGAAAATACATACTCGGATTGATGAGATGTATGAAGGGTTGAAACGAAAATAAATTTACGCCTCTTCAGTTGTACTATAATTACAGTTGTACGTTTGCAAATAAGCAACAATTAAACAATGAATTCTGTGTGTGACTCTTTTGGTTATTTCGTTAAAAATAGTTGAAGTTGTGAACGAAAGTTTTTAGTGGAATACTTTCGCAACGAATTTTATTAAAAATTTGCTCCTTCGAGAACACGCATTAATTCAGGTAACGAGATATTTTATAATACTCCGTTTATTATAATTTAGCTTTGGCGAAACTCCTAATTTTAATAGTCTTTAGAAAAAAGAAAAAAGCAAAATATGTGTTTTAATCTCGGTATTCTTAAGCAGTAATTATTATGTATTAGAGCTACTTTGTTAACCGAACTAAAAGCATGTATAAATATATTTCAAGATTAAACGTTGAACGTTCCTTTATAAATATTGAATTTTATTTTATTATACAGACAAGCACATTACATTAGGCTCCTTTGAAATATTTTTCATTATCATTCCAGAAAGCGTAGAAATAAAGCTGATAATCGTATAATTGTATAAAATCAAAGCTGCTGAAAAGAATAATCTTTTGTAAATTGATTACAGTGAAAGACTTGCTGGTCGTGAAAAATTCGACAAAAACTGACAATCATTTTTCACCTTTAAATTCTCGCAAACTGAAAAGAGGAACCCGAGTTAGTTTTCATTTTACGAAGGTATCGATCGCGAATGTTTTTCATTTTTCGCTATGCAATAAAACCCGAGAAATCTATCTAGTCGCGAAAAATATTGTTCGACTGGCACACAACGAGATGGTTGTATGTTCGTTTTCAAATTAAATCACCGAAGGGAGAAAAAACTATTACATTCGCTGTCTGTAAATATTAGAATAAAATAAAAATGGGAAAAAGGACTAAGTGCTCTTATTTTTGATGAAATATCGCTGGATGAAAAAAATCACAACACTTCAATTAAGCGACAATAACAGTGTAAATTGATACGTGAACTGAAAATCAAAATATCATGGATGTGAAAATTGACAATTTGCCTGGCTTGTTAACGAATTACGTGAAATAGGTATTTTTATTACTCCAGGGTTTTTTTTACCCTTTGAAATGAATTTCAGTAGATGAAAAAACTGCTCCTCTATCCAGCTGCAAAATTTTAGGAAAATACGTTGGTCATCAACCTGGCTTCTGTGCGAGATCGATCACTGGAATCGTTCGTCTCGAGCTATAAAACGATAATATTGAACGTGGAGAACTCACTTCGCTGATCTCGTGGCACTTTGCCCATAGAATGCACGAATTACAAGTTAGACATCGTTAAAATTTCATGGTGTGTCTGTCGCAGACACCGAGCCGAGACGAAAGACCGATCCGCTACATAAAGTACTGCTGAAAAATGGATGCGATTCAAAAGAGGCCAGAATCCGATGCTCTGACATGTTGCACTCCATACGTAGGTTTACGTGGAACGTTTCTACTGATAAAAACGATGGACTTTGTCAAACGTGCTCCAGATCGTTACTCGAACGTCCTGAATTTCGTGTTTGATAATTGTCAAGTCAAAGTGGTCGATCAAGTTTCTCTTTCGACAGCTGCTTTGATGTTTACGTAACGTTACTTTGATCTTTCTTTCACTTTGATAACTTTTGAGGCTGATAGGTATCTTCGGTTCAAAGAAATGTCAAGAGAGATGGATTTGTTTGAACGAAGATTAGTTTGAATATCATTCTGGGAGCGACTTTGGAGTCGGAAAAAATAAATAAGCGTAAAATATATAATTAATAAGCTAGGAATTGTTTAAATAAATTTCTGTACAAATGATCTCATAATTTAATTACTTAATATATATCAAATGGCTAATTTTGAAACATAAGAATTCAAGTCATTCTTAAAAAGGTATTCATTAACTCTTTAATAATTCCTTATCTTTCTTTAATTAAAATTAAATATTTATCACCTGACTGGCACATCAGTTCAAAATACTTTACAGTCTCATCTCATGGACTTCCTAAGAAGCTCAATTCATTGGAATTAGTTATATTTAGCTTAATTGATACATCAGACAGAGGAAATCATTAATTTTACACATTACCTCAAGAATTCTTATTATTCTTAAACTAAGATAAATGGTTAATGACTTCAAAATTAATCTAATGTCAATTTCTCAAGAGGCACATTGCATCTTCGTACCAAGTACCTATGGAACAATATAATTGTCACCTAACTTGGGATCACGACAGATTTCGAAGTAT